ACTAGAAAGAAAAGAAGGTTAATTTAGGTTTATTTCGATTTTTTTTTGGTGGTTACGAAGTCGGTCGAATTGACAGATCCAGTTTTGAGATTAGGGTAGAGAAAATAATATATAAACTATAAGGTTTAGTGAAAAAAAAAAAACGTGTGAAATGCATTTAGTAGGTTTTATGGATTACACAAAGGAAATTTGAGATTTTTGAGATGATGAAAAGTATGTTTAATTTTAACATGAAAATTACTTTAAACAGAGACTATTCAAAATAAGTACTCAATATATTCATGGACAAAACTAGTAAGACTTGTAATATTAATTGAAAGACTGCCAAATTTCGTGAATATATACCCAATATAAGTATTAAATTTATGTCAACTTTTTAACAAGTACAGAAAGTCATGTGACTCGGTCAAATCGACCGACCCCGTGTCGGAAGAGTTAAAAAAAGGTCAAATTCTAAATTTCATTTTTTAGTGGACAATTGACACTTTGAGAACCCATCCAAAATTTAATTATGCACCCAAATGGTTAAGTACCTGTGTTTAACTTTAAGATGCAAGTGTTTCAAAGTTTTAGTTCTTACAAGCACATATAAAACCATCATATCCATTTAAACATGTTAGACTTACTACACTACAAACTCTTCTTCTCCTCCTGGTAACTTTACTGAAGGAAAAAAAAAAGCTCCTAATTAGAATAACTGTGAAGAAAAATATTCATCTGATTAATTTTTAGAGAATTCTATAAAAGAATTTAATTTTTACTTAAATGTTAATTCAATTACCATTAAAATAACATGGCTTAAATAACACAACATACTATAAGTTTCAGAAAGATATAACTTTTACATTCACTAGAGCTTTTTCTGGAAATTTCTGTGAACTAATTAAGTGCTGCTGCTTCAACAGCTGGTTAACCACGTTAATAACTGATGCTTGTACATTAAGGCACAACTTGTTACTTTTGTGGAAGATTATGTTTATGACTGATAACTGCTTTACTAACCTCTTAAGTTCCTGTACTGTGATATATCAATACAAACTCATAAGGGACTCTTGCTGGAAGTGCCAACAACCAAGTAGCCAACATGTTTGGATGCAAGACTTATGATTTGCATTCATGACCAATAAGACAAATACAGCCATAAAGTGATCTACATATAAAGTTATTTAAATGTGTTGACACAAGTGACATTGGTCACCCAGCTATATCTAATGGGTCAGTGCTTTTTTGAATGTACTATATTTACCTGTTTGGTCCGAACCCTAGATTCATTAGATAAGTTGTTGAAGGTATAATGAGCCTGGCAAATACCACAGAAGAGAACAGCAACAATACCTGAAGAACAATAAATAGCAGTTTAGCTTACTTTGGAATATTATTCAAGTCTTTAAGTAATCTTCTTCGGAAATATTTGATACTGCATTAAAATTAATACACATACTTCTTGATATTCATTACTCTAAAAATACAAGTCCACATCTTATAACAGTTAATATTTAACACCAGCCATTGGCCAAAAATATTTACTTGGAGAATATACAAAAGCACATCAATAATTTAAATTGCACACATTAAAAAAAAAAGGTTTAAGTGTATGCCACTAAACAGGTCTAACACAGTTTTCACTGAAGAAAAAACAAAAAACATAAATTCAGTTTGGAAACTGTCACATAATGTAAATTGAGTCTTATTATTACTAATATCTTTCTCATATCTTGTTATCTCATACATTTTGGTTAGTCGTGTTAAACTTTATTTACTACTTCAAGGTATTTTCTCTCTAAATTGTTGATATATATAAACACAGACATATACACACACAATATTGCATCTTCAGTGACTTTTTTTTATTGCATTTATCATGGTTATTTTTAACTAGTATTAATATTTCTATCTACACGAACATTAGTATTTTATGTTGTACTTTTATCTGTATCATCATGTTAACAGACCCTATAGCTAAATAGTAACATTGCATCTCAGATGTTAATCTTAAATTACATTGTCAGAGTCAGTCATTGTGTTTATCTTGTCATTAGAAGTGGGTATATATATACATACACACACACATATTTTAGCAAAGTTTAGTTTCCCTGTAGATATGTTACAAAAAGTAAATTATTAAAATCATCTCTCAGGAATACACTGCTTTAGATCATTAGTTATTTGCTCTGTTCTCATTCATACACATACTTGTTGTAATCCAACTCACCGCTCAGGTCAGCAGCTTCAGCCAATAAAAACGTACTGTAAGACATCAGCACAAACAATGACGATTCTAACAGAGGGAAATCACAAAGACGAGTGAACTTAGTAAGCTGAACAGAAAAGCTAAGGATGCTAAAATATTTAGATAAATAAAAAAAACAGCTGGAAAAAAGAATAAGACATACAAAAACTGTTATTAGTTTCCATTGACAGACAATAATGAAAAATTATATGGTAAGAAGGAAGTTGGAGCATTTCAAATTAGATATTATTTTTCCACAGTTATAAAAATAAAACTTCTTAATTCTGTGTATTCCAAAACAATTTAGGGCATTCCATCTCTACTCTTCTAAGTTTTAGTTACAACTAAAATTAAGAATATATCAGAAAAATGTTACATACAACATTTCAATTTATATCGGATATTCATGCAAAGTTACACAAAGGCTACTACCAGAAACTTTCTGTGATTCATATGCATAAAAATACTAATGATTGAACAGTTAGCAGTTAGAAAGAGCTTACATTGTAATATAATATTTGTTGTTGAATAAAAAAACTATTAACATAAATATTTGTCACTTCAAGAAAGGATACCAATGCTGTACAGCATCCTGTTACAGATCCAATTAGAAAGGAGAACAAGAAGATGTAGACAAAGTTCCCAAGTGATTTAAATGCAGCACCAACTTGGAAACCTGACTCAGTGTGGTAATGTTCCTCATAATTGTTAATAGCTCTGTAAATAAACAAATATAAAATGCACACATTTCTTAATAGTTGAAATAATAGAAATTAGAATTAGTGATGAAGCTAGAGAATTCAACTCTTTAACCATCACTGATGACATTGTATGGTATATAAAAACAAGTAGTAGGTCAGATTCTGGTGGGAATTTTTTTTTAAGGTCCAACAACAAAATGTTCTTATAGTTCCATGCAAATCTTAAAACAAATGTACACTCCAGCAAACCACAACTTCTAACAACAAAAAGTCTTTATAAAATATTCAAAGTTTTTTTATTAAACAGAAAAAAAAGTGACTACCTATATATCATAAATGTGATAGTTCAAGCTAGTACTTACCTATTTACTGCGTGCAAATTCACACTTTAATTTCAGTTATGATCCAAGCAATACTTACAAAGCCACCAATCTGTCTGAAGTTTATAAACTAAACATTCTTGCTCATAATTTCATTTTGATACTTACCCTGATAGAACAATGGCTACTGCATCATTCAAAATGCTCTCTCCAAACACTAGAGCATACAGGTTAACATCAACATGGAGATCATGAAATATGGCCAAAACAGTCACTGTAAAATAAAAATCTGTATATAAACCTAGTACTTTTGAATAATAATAATAGTTATGTTTAACAAACATGATTAGCAGGTAATAATTAGATAGCAATAAATTTTTGCATATGGACAGTTTACTGTTGGAACAGGTAAGTGATGACACTCTTAGTGTGTTGAAACATTGTCACCTGTTACATATTTCAATAGCAAAGTGTCCGTAAATAAAAGTTGTCTGTCAACCAGACTTGTGTATTAAGGATACATTTAGAGGTGGTGGTAAGTTTCAGAGAATCAACCTTCTTTTCATAAAAAAATAAAAAACATACCACCTGAAAATTTGTGAGACAAAAAAAAGCTTTAAAGTTCATTTGATATTGAAAAAATTGACTAGTTATATGTATTATCATACATTACCACTTTTTAAATGAACATTTTCCCATTAAAGAAATACATTATCTCACAAATGTAGTTACTAAAGAAACACTAGCATTTAAAATGTTCTTACACGAAATTGGTTAGTTTTGAGCCTAATAGTTAGCAACACAACTATATCATGGTTATCTACAATGAAAATAATTGGCAAGTTAAAACAGTGAACAAATATTTTTTTGGAGATTCAGCTCTTTAATGCTAATGTGATTCTCCTATCATCATAAATTTATTAATTATGACTCTGGAAAGAATTACTATATAGATCAAATACATTCACATACAAATATTGTTTTAAAGAAAGATTCGAGCAAAGGTCCGAAAAAATTATATGAAATAAAATTAAAAATTACTGAAGATTTATTTTTATCTGACAAAACCAAGAGGAAAAATTTAACAGAATTATTCTAATATACTGCTGCAGATTTATTTTAGATTTTAAAAATTTACAAGAGTAATTACCTGGATCTGTGGCTGATATGATTGCACCAAAGTACAATGAATCATTAAAAGTAAACTCTAAATGAGGCATGAGCTGGACAAACCCATAAACAACAGCCCTATAAAAGAATAATAGAAATATTTTTTAGGTTACTGTGTGTGTGTATATATTTTCTACATAGCTCTTGGCTTCTATTATTACAATTTTCAGTACTTACACTTAACTATATTTAAATTATGTTCCAGTCAAGTAACTGTTATTTACTCATCTTTAGTCTCATGTTTCTTTATATAAAGAAGTCTACTTTTCAAACAGATAAGAGATAGACAATAAGATAGACATACATGCACACACAAAAATTAAGGAAAAAAAAAAAGAGAGAGAAACAGAAAATATAAAAGAGTGTATTGGATTTAACCATCACAGATCAATAAAGAATAGTGTGTAAATCCTTTAGAAGTGATTTAAACTAAATGTTATGAACATTCTGATAGACAAGGAAGTTGAAGGGTTGTGAGACAAAGAAAAGTGCTGTTGTTGTGCCTGGAGCTACTATGTGACTTCTCAAAACTTGTATTTAAGAAAGTATTCACATTTGATTCAAAAGAGGAATTTTATACGAGTTGCAACTGGCTGGGGTTTGGGGACTTGAGAAAGTTTTGACATGCCTCTGGTAGTTTCCCTCATATTCATTTCACACTTGTATTTATAGAACTACTAAACACTTCAGTTATTAGTCTTAGGCTATGAGAATCTCTTTACTAAAGTACTAATAACTGTGTGTTACAATACAACTTAATGGAATTAATTATGCCTGAGTTTCAAACATTTTTGATAAAACTATTGTATGTGCAGCAGTCTCAAAACATTATTGTTTTTCATGCATTGTGTTTTATTATAAGTAGGTATGGTGCTTTAATTATATCTCTACTTATTGGTTATTCAGTGTCTTGGTAAGTCAGTCTTCAGTTATATGTTCTAAACTTCTACGTATGATTGATTTGCAAACTTTTAAATTTTGTAATACCTTTTTTCATGAAACACTACCCATCTAAAGAAGTTAAGATGTTCAACTATATCACTTATCTTCAATTAATTTTGCACAATCAAATTTACATTAAAACATTCCAGTTATTGCTAACAAGTTTATAGTTAAATGCCCATGTAAAAGTTTTATTGAAGTTAGTTAATTTTAAAAATTAAAAGTTTTAGCTCCAAACATATTTGATTTGTTTTATGTAAGAAAAAATTAATTTTATATAAAAATTATTATTCCATATCATTCTTTATCAGTGTGGTGCCTGCAACAAGATTGAGTTTTTTAAATTTAATAGTCATCAATAAATTTGCAAAATAATCAAATATTCATAGTAGAATGATTCTGAAACTAGCTATAAAGGCCCAAATTAATTCCTGGAGCAACACTAATTATTTTAAAATGGAGAAATTAAGATAAAAGTTTATATTGTTGGAAGTTAAAAAAGCTTACTAAAGACTGGATAAGCCTATTGCACCTAATTTTATTTTAAATACTCATAAGTTTAATTATTTTGGTATGTTTTAAGCACAAAGCTACACAATGGGCTATCTATATTATGCCCACCAAGGGCCATTAAGGGGACATATTTTTTACATTTCTTTATTCTCATGGTTTAAATTATAGTTGAATTTGACAAGGTGTCACATAAAAGGCTTGTAAAAAATTAGCTCTATAGGTGTGGGGGATAAATTAGCAAATTGGATAGAAGAGTGGCTGGATGGAAGAATGCAGAGGGTTGTTACAAATGGAGTTCAGTCAAACTGGATTAACGTCACAAGTGGGGTACCTCAGGGCTCAGTCTTAGGACCTTTGCTCTTGTTGATTTACATCAATGACATAGATGAAGGGATAGTCAATAAATTACTTAAATTTGCAGATGATATTAAGGTCTTGGGTGTTGCTAGCTGTGAAGATTGATGCTGCTGATTTACAAAAGGATTTAGATCATTTAGTGAATTGGGTAAATAAATGACAGATAGGTTTTAATTATAATAAATGCAAGATAATACATGTGGGTTATCATAATTTGAATTATAAGTATAATTTGGATGGGAATAACCTTAATAGTGTTATGAGAGAGAAGGGATCTTGTTTTAATAGTTGATCAATCTCTTAAGTCATCCAAGCAATGTTCTGTTGCTAATGGTAGGGCAAATAGGATTTTAGGTTGTATCTACAGAAATAATGAATACAAGTCTAAAGAAGTTATA